CAGATGTCTTAATGGTCACAAAATACGTAGGGAAGGGTAAACAAGCTCCCAGCTTAATCCGTGAGGATTACAAGCCGTCCTGCCTCCCTCTGCCTGTCTCCTATCAGATATATCCTATAGACGGAGGATGCAGTCACATGATAGTTACTGCTTCCTCCCCATGACATCACTGCTTGTGCAGCCACACCGCCAAGGAAAGGATGCTATTAAAATCCTTGGGACGGGGCTAAATGATGGTGCATCGCAGGTAAGCAGCATAATCCCTGGCAAATGAACTTCCCCGTTGCTCCCGTGCTGCTCCCGCYGTGCTCCGGCTCTGCCGGGCAGAGCTCGGGCTGCAAAACCCAGCGAGCGGTGGCGGTGCAAGCAGAGGGCTCGCAGGTGCAGGAGCTGCTCGCTAGCTCCTTGCTGCTCTTCCGGCTGACATCCCCCATGGAAGTGCTGCCAGCCGGAGCTGTGAAGCCGAGGACGGCCCCTTGCCYGGGTATTTTGCTAGGAGTCCTTCGTGTCCTTGCTAAATCCTGTTTTAAYGTGAGCAGCCATCATTGAGGTTGTGCAGAGGGAGGACAGCGATATTGGTTCTGCTGATGTTCCTGTTTTATCCTGCATTCCTTAAAGAGGGTTGTTATATGGATAGATGTGTCTAAGCTTAAAAAGGAACGAGGATTAACTTGCTTAGGAGATTAGCAAATGTATTTGTAGAAAGTGGATTTTCCTTTATTCTTACCGTTTGCTGACACGGTTTGAAAGTACCTAGCCTGGCAGGTTTCTTGCATGACTTGCTGTAGCGTAGGATGGATTTTGTTTGTCGTCCAACATAAGCACGAAAAAAATATTTTCCAAGAAGGACACGCAAGATTACAGGCAGATTTTTTCCTTCTTACACAAAATGCATCACCAGAATGCTGAAAAATCTGCACAAAATGGATTTTTCAGACTGTTCATATTTAYATAGCAAAATCCGGAATCTGATTTTTTTTTTTCCCCTGCTGTGGGAGTCTAATTATGTGCTCTGTTAAAATATATAAAGACATACTTGCAGTGAAAATATGTTGAGTATTATATATATATTTTTTTCATGGATTGCAGATTGCCTGTTTTATATTAGCTTTTTTTTTGTTGTTGTTGTTAATACAAATGCTAGAATGGAAGGGGTTGCACTCCTTTATGGGCCTTTACCAATCAGAAAAAAAGAATATTATCCTGGTTTTATGCATTCAGAGTCATGATGAATAAWTTTTTTGCCTTTGCTGGAGATGGAGGATGACTCAGCCACAGGAGCCTCGAGCAGATAGTCAGGTGACTTTTCAGTCACAATATGCAGGAAGTTTTTATTCTTGAAAATTTTGTCCTTTGTTCAAGCAAAATTTTCCCTTCCATCAGAAACTCTGACAATTTGCCATGTGCAGGATCTCTGGGTACACACCCAGGTACTCGTTGGGGAGATCTCCTATCTCCTCTGTTGAAGTTTGCTGAATAGCCTCTTGAAAAATGAATTCTTCATTTATGTGCTGAGGTTTGCAATCATCACAGAAAATAAAGAGTGCACAAAATCTATTATGTTATGAAAAATTAAAAGCAAGAAAGAAAAAAGGATAACAGAGTCTGCTATTTTTCAGCACTGAAGCACAAGAGTGATAGACATACAAATTAAAAGTCATGTTATGAAAACATAGTAAGGGTCATATTCTGCTGGAGCTAGTGCTTAAATGTTTTGATTTTTTAGCTTCCTCTGAAATGTCAAGAGAACTACTGGSTCAGTTCTTTCTGGCACCTAAAAATATGCTGATTTGTGGCCTTATTCACAGCACACACCGAGACTTGGCAGTTTGTTCAYATGAAGTCCCCATAGAGCTGCAACCCGTGTGTTTTACAAGCATGATGTTTTGCCCCCGTGCAGCACCACAATGGTATCACATAGTGCAATATATACAAAGCAGAAGTTCTCCTGGTCTCCTGATCCGAGTTAGGCATTTTCCAAGCAAAAATAAAAAGGTACCACTCTAAACATATACTGAGGCAATATGGAAATTAAACAGCAGTTTGGGGACCTAAGCACTTAACAGCGTGACCTTGAAAATCCCTGTTCTGACCTATCCCACCCTGGAAGCCCTGGGGCTGTAGCAGTGCATCAGCTTTGGACTTGGAGGCGGGGTGAGCAGACCTAGCGCGCAGCATCCAGGACCATTGGGGACATCAGGAGGGAGCCATGACCACCCTGCCCTAGGCACAGCTCAGCTTTGGCACTGCCGAGTTTTGAAAGCAGAAGGTTCCTTGGGCTGGAGGGGAAAGTAGGTGGGATCTTGCCTGAAGTGCAGGAGAAAGCCCTGTCCCTTGTGGTGGGCAGGAGAAAGCAGGGAGGCTCTCACACTGGTGGTGCCCTGGTCATCCGCAGGAACCAGGTAATGTGGGTGGGAGCCCTGGCCCTGCCTTGCACTGGTTGGCATTTGGAGGGATCTGGAGGTCCTCCCGGCCTGTCCCACCAATGAGAGAGAGCACTGGTGCTTAACGTGCAGTTCAGTGTCACCCCATGCACAACTAAAACCTGGGCGTGTAAGTGGTCAGCGTTTTGTAGCATAAGCCTCTCTGGGCTCTGTCCTGCTCTAGCTCAACTTGGGGCATGACCTGCAACCACCATTGTAGTGCCTATAGGTAGCATAGAATCACACAGAATCACAGAATGCTTAAGGTTGGAAGGGACCTCCAGAAGTCATCTAGTCCAACCCCYCTGCTCACACAGGGTCACCTTGAGAACGGGGCACAGGGCTGCGTCCAAGCGGGTTTTAAAGATCTCCAGAGAAGGAGACTCCACAACGGAGGCTCCCTAGGCAGCCTGTGCCAGGGCTCTGTCACCCTCACTGTCAAGAAAAGTCCTTATCCATTTTGCTTTTGCTGTGACTTTCCAGCTTGTGTGACATCTAGCATTTCCTCATGGTAATGACTCGCTGTCCCCACTACTGTCATGAGAGGGGACGTGGTAGAACATGTGGTAAAACAGATTAAGGGCTTTTCTAGCACCGATATTTCAATCCTTTTTTAAGCTGAATGCTTAGAAAAGGTTTTCAGTGGTAAAGGTAGCACCATGTAGCCCCCCTGTCCCTCAGCCTAGGCCTGGGGCAGCAAGACCCTCTCTCCCAAGGGCCATTGGAGCCAGGGTGGGTGCCCCTTGGCTCTGCGAGGAGAGGGAGACGCAGAACAGAAGCTGACGTGACGCTAAACTGCGGGCCRGGTTTCAACGTCTCCTGTCTTCTGAATGCTGATTTCTTACCTCATGTTCTCTTGGGTTTCCATTTTACCTGGTTGAATCAGAGCAGGTTTAGCAGAGGGGCATCCTTTCTTAAAACACAGCCTGAAAAAAGCAAAAGCGCATCCTGTAGCCAGCTGCACCCAGGCAGATTCCACTTCCCTAGCATCAACTCAGCCKGTTTCCTGGAGGGACCTTTAAAACTGTGGAAACCGCAAAGAAAAGGGAGGTTGGTGATTTTACCCTGAGCTGATTTTGAGTTATGGGAGTGTAAACCTTTCCCTTGGAGCTGGTAGTGAAAGAGCTGGGCTTTTCTTCCCTTCCTTTTTTTTTTTTTTTTTTTTTTTTTTCCGATATAAATGAACTCTACTCATTTTGCTCAAATTTTCCAAGGAAACTCAAACTGAGACCAGACCGGCTATTTCCAGAAAGAAATTTGCCTCAGAGGAGAGAAATAAGCCTGGAAAGAGTGGGGTGCAGGCTGAGCGCGAGGGGGCTGCCGCCGTGTCGCTGCCTAGGTAGGACACAGCTTGGCCCACGGAGGCTCCGTAAGGTGGAGGCCTCCCGGGCAGAGGATGGAGGGAGGGGATGGGAATGGCCACTAGAGCTGCTCCCGGTGCCAGGAAGCGGAGGGCGGTCCTGGCCGCCCGTGGCGCGCTCCCGATCCCAATCCCGATGCCACCGAGGACGCGGCTGGCGACGGCCCCAGAGCGGCCGCGTGCGCAGGGCCCCCCGCCTGGCTCCGCGCACGTTTGTGGCCAGCCCGGCTGCCACCGCCCGCGAGCGCGTGCTTGGAGACTGCGGTCGAGCCTGCAGCAGCCTTCCGTGCCTCGATTTTCCACTTTTTCAGCCCAAATATGTTCCCCCCACCCCCGCTCCACCCTTTCTTCCAGGACGTCTCCCCTATGATCTGGTGCCCTGTGTTTTCTGAGCTCTGCCTGTGGCTTTGTCACTTTTTCCACGGAGGTTACTCAGGGTAAAGCTGCGTGTCGAAGATTTACTGCGTGCTCCCTGCCATATCGCAGCAGGAAAATATGTGGAAACAGAGCTGTACATGAAAATGCTGCAGTGCATTAAAAGTGTTGTAGACACCGCAGCCGACCTGCTGTTGTGTTTTGAGAGACRCGGTAGATATTTGCTGTATTACTTATGCAAGTGTGGGAGCCCTGCAGTTAATCCTAGAGTCTGAAAATTGTGAAATTCATTTTTTTAATCTCTTCTTCCCTCTGTATTTTCCCAGTTCAACTCTTCTCCACTTCCTACGTGCCGTATTATGTTTCTTAAAAGGCCTGTAATCCAGTTTGAGGTTGTTTTAGTTTCTGTCGGGTCAGGACCTTGCTCTATTTCAAGACTATTTCAATATTTTTCAAGAAAAAAAGGAGTTTTCCTTGCTGCAGCTAGTGTCTGTTTTCTCTTGACTCTCATTGTGTGCCTTTCAGAAGAGTCTTCCCTTCTCTCTAGTTCCCTTTTGGATAGCTGAAGTGGAATTACATTTCTTCCTTTGCCTTCTTGTCCTCAGCCTAAACAAACCTACTGCTGCCAGCCCTTTCTTCAAAAATTATTTGCTTGAGATTTCCCAATCTTTTCACTGTGCTTTTTGTTCATCTCTTTCAAAGTGACCTCATAGTAAGCTTTTCTGTTGATTTTTCTGCACTACTGCACCTATTTCCTGCTGCTAGATGGAGAGGTCTCTGCTTCCATCCATATGACTAGGTGTCTCCAGGCTGCCCAGGGAGGCTGTGGAGTCTCCTTCTCTGGAGGTCTCCAAACCTGCCTGGATGCCGCCCTRTGCCCCGTGCTCTGGGTGTCCCTGCTGGAGCAGGTGGGTTGGACCAGATGATCTCCAGAGGTCCCTTCCAACCTCAGCCATTCTGTGATTCTCCATCCCTGGGAGTGTGGCAGAGACCACTTTTCACTGTGATTTGATGCCTTGTGAGGTGGAGGCAAGTCTGAAAGACTATGAGCTCTATCTCACCTCAAAAAGGTCTGCCTAGATCATGGTC